GGGCGGACCCTAACGGGCGTGACGGGTCGGGTCGGGTTGGGCGGACCCTGACGGGCGGGTCGAGTCGGGCGGGCGGGTCGAGTCGGTCAATGTGGGAGTAGCACTCCCACATTGAAACGCCTTTCTTGCTGGTGTGCTTGATTCGGGGATCTTCTGACCCGGGTCAATCCAGACCCGGGTCAGCGGGAAACCAAAAACTGCAACGCAGGAAACAATTATCCCAGTGCGACCCTACCTAGGAGTTGGAGCCCCTAGGAAAGCAGCACTAGTAGTAACAGTAAAGCTAAGCTAAAGCTAAGCTACAGCTAAGCTACAGCTAAGCTACAGCTAAGCTAAGCTAAGCTAAAGCTAAGCTAAATATACAACTAAGCTAACGCTAAGCTAAATCTAAGCTAAAGCTAAGCTAAAGCTAAGCTAAAGCTAAGCTAAAGCTAAGCTAAAGCTAAGCTAAAGCTAAGCTAAAGCTAAGCTAACGCTAAGCTAAAGCTACGCTAATTCTGAGCTACAGCTGAGCTACAGCTAAGCTAACTCTAAACTAAAGCTAAGCTAAAGCTAAATCTAAAGCTAAAACTAAGCTGAAGCTATGCTAACGCTAAGCTAAAGCTAAGCTAACGCTAAGCTGAAGATAAGCTAAAGCTAAGCCAACGCTAAACTAAAGCTAAGCTAACGCTAGCTAAAGCTAAGCTAAAGCTAATCTAACGCTAAGCTAAAGCTAAGCTAAAGCTAAGCTAAAGCTAAGCTAAAGCTAAGCTAAAGCTAAGCTAAAGTTAAGCTAAAGTTAAGCTAAAGCTAAGCTAAAGCTAAACTAAAGCTAAAGCTAAAGCTAAAGCTAAAGCTAAAGCTAAAGCGAAAGCTCCCAGGGGACTGGGGGAACCGCGGGGCGGGGACTGGGGGAACCGCCCGGGGCGCTTTCCACTGCCCGGCCCCTTTAAGCTAGAGAGTAATAACCCTTCTAGGCAGAGCCTAGGTAGGGAAAAACTGCAACGCAGGTCTTTGAAGGGGCCCTGAGACACACAAATAAATACACAAATAAAATATGCCCCACATGTTCCCATATTTTCAGGGTGTTTGTCTTCCCCACCACTTCCCATATTTTCCCAGATTTTCTGGGGAATCGACGATTAATTGTGTGTGTGTGTGTTTATTTCCCTCCTGAGTCTTCGCAAACCCGGGTCAGCCAATATGCGCGGCCGCCTCGCGGCCACGAGCGGCTCGCTAACCCTGGTCAGCCAGAGGGGGCCTTCGCAGGATCCTGCAGGATCTGGTGCCCTGGCTGACCCCCGTTTGCATTGACCCCTCGTCTCAAGGCTCCCGATTGATCCTGTAGCAGTAGCCTGCGTGAAGCAATTTGAGCCCACGCCGGTTCGCTGGCACCAAGCGAGGGCTAGCGGCCTCGGGCACCGCGGCTGGGGCGGCACCGCCGGCCAGGGCGGCGCCGGGCCCCGCGGCGCTGAACCCAGGCGAAAACGAGCCCGGGCGAAAGCCAACCCGGGCGAAAGCCAACCGGGCGAAAGCCAACCCAGGCGAAAGCCAACCGGGCGAAAGCCAATTCGGGCGAAAGCCAACCGGGCGAAAGCCAACCGGGCGAAAGCCAACCCGGGCGAAAGCCACCCCGGGCGAAAGCCAACCGGGTGGAAGCCAACCCGGGCGAAAGCCAACCCGGGCGAAAAACAACCCGGGCGAAAATCAACCCGGGCGAAAGCCAACCAGGCGAAAGCAAACCCGGGCGAAACGAACCGGGCGAAACGCACCGGGCGAAAACCAACCCGGGCGAAAAACATCTACGCCCTGGGGACGATTTCTTGGAGGGTTCTCCCACGGGGGAGGTCTGAAATGGCTTGTCTTGGAGGGTCCAGACCCCCTCCCTTTTATTACGAAATCTGGAGTACCTGCGTCTAGATAACAAATCTCGGGAACATGCGCCAAGCACCTGTCCTCACGTGCGTGCCTGCAGACGCGCTCGGGGCGGATGCGTCTATAGACAACCCAGCCGTTGCGTCTGGGCCTAGCTCAGACCAGGTGGGTGAGGCCGTGGCCTCGATCATCTGGCTTGTCTGGATACATGCAATGTGAGACACATCAAAAGTTAGGAGAGGAGGATGAGGAGGAGGAGGAGGAGGAGGAGGAGGAGGAGGAGGAGGAAAGCCAAGAGGACGTCATTCGTGCCGGTGTCGGCGCAGGCTGAGCGTGTGGTTTCGAATTTCTCTGGGCGTTTCCTTTATGGGTCTTGGTCCTTGGTATTTGCTGCCGTGAGGTCGGTGTAGCGATGCTCGAGCGCCGTCCACGTTTCGGTATCTTGGGCTGTTTGCGTCCATGTGATGTCGTTTGGTTGTCCTCTCGATTGGGTCTGTGTGGATGGTTGGTGGCGGTCTGGTCTGCGTTGGCGTAAGAAGGCGTTGACTTCGTCGTCCCAACGTTTGCGTCGGCCGTCGTGCTGGCGCCGGTTGACAGCGTAGCACTCGCCACGTCCTCTTTGCTCGCGCGTGGTTTGCGACTCTCGAAGCCGTGCGCCACAACTTTCGTTTTTGTGCCGTCACCCAGTTGTCGATGCCATAGGCTGCGCCCCCCTTCTCCTCCCCCTTCTCTGCGTAATTCAAGCTCCGCGCGGCCCGCTTCGTTTCGACCGGCAGAGGTGCGCTCTCGACCCGCGAGTCAAAAAGGTTGCCGATGCCATGAAACTTCATCAGGTGCTCTGCTCGTCGTGCCGCTCTTAGGGGGCCACAAGCGAACCCTACCCCTACCCCCCACGATTTTTGAGGGGGAGGGTGGGGTTCACTTCGCTCGTGACCTCCCGAAAGAAGTGAACCTCACCCTCCCCCTCAGAAATCGTGGGGGGTAGGGGTAGCGTTCGCTTGTGGCCCCCTAGCTCTTTGCATGGCTTCGGCCCCGGGGTTCCAACGGGCCCGCAGTGGTGCTGTCTCTGCCGCTCTGGCGGTGCACGTCGGGCGTGATATCTGTGCCTCGCGCTGGAGCGGGCTGCTGCCTGCGCCGTCGCTGGTGGCCGTTGCCTGGAGCCTCGTGGTCTGTGCCGTGGGAAGCGGTGGGTCTCCGGCTGCCGTGAAGGTCTGCTTGTTGTGCGGTGCCTCGCCGCGGCGTTCTGAGGATCGTGCGGAGCACGCGTCGCACCGTGTCCCTCGTGAGTGCCGCCGGAGGGGCCCCGCGGGCGTCCACTCCTCTGCTCGCACTTCCTCCGGAGGTTGAGAGGCCTCCTGCCCTGACACGTCGATTAGCGAATCGGCCGTTTTCGGTTCGCGAGAGGGCGTCGCGGCCGTCATTCTTGCGGGTCCGGGTCCGTCGGTTTCGGTCCATGCCTTTTTCACTGAAGGGAGGCTTGCGAAAGGGAGGTTTGTTCACCGCCGATTCCCGGGCCACACCTCGGAGGTCCGCTCGGACCTCCTGGGCCACTGTGGGACACCCTCCGGCGACAGAGTTTCTCGAGCGATTGGCCCAAAGCCCGCCCCATGCACAGAAGCGGCCACGCCAGAATTCACAAGTTCCGATCACCTCGTCTCGGGGCGGGGCCGCGCTCGACGCAGTGGCGGCGGCGCTCGCGGGCATGCTGGCCCACGGGGACGAGCGCGGTGCTCCAGCGGATGCCGGACATGCCTCTCCGGCGCCACACCCTGCGCGCGCGTTCTGCGCGCCAGGGGGAGGCGGGGTCCAGAAGGGGGGGGGCGGGTCCAGCGCTGGCCCGAGGGCCAGAGATCCGCGCGGAGCTTCGAGGAGTGCGGTTTTGCGCGGCTGCTTGTGCCTCGTGAGCGCCAGTGCGTCCAACCACATGGCGGCAACCCACTCCTCAGCAGGCCTCATGTGGCGAGATTCTCGAACAGCGCCTAAAGGCCTCATGCGTCGCCTCACGTGGCCTGCGACCCAGGAGGAGCCCCAGAGCGCTAGTGCGTCGTCCCTCATGTGATATACCGCTCCAAGAGTTATGTCTGCCCTGATCCTAATCTGCTTCAATTGCCTTCCTACTCCAATGGTCACTGGTCTCCTACTTCACTCGCCTTCCTACATCATCATTGTTTTACTTTCGTCATAGCGGTCTGTAAATCTTTCCGTGAGTATCATAGTTGTGATCTTGCTGTTCGTAGTTCTTTTGCTCAATCAGTAGTGGCTGGAATGTCATCGTTGCCACCTTGGTCTACTTTGTTGTGCGCCTAACTTTCCACTCAACCATGAGGCTTTTAGGCGTTGTTGCTGCATCGGCGTTGGCGCATGCTGCTGCTTTCTCTTGCCCCGACTTTCTGAAGCCTATTTGTGACATTGTCACGTCGGGCGAATGTCTTGCGAAATGTATGCCGCGTCTCGGGTCATGCATCAATGATGAGGCATGTCGAGATAACATGAAAGGCTTTGGCCTCTGTATGGCAAGTATGCCGAAGAATGCAACCGCTGACCAGACCCAGGCCTGCTTGGTACCCGACAATGAGCTTCGCTCGGAGTTCATTTATTGCATCATGGATGGTGGTGACGAAGGTGCTTGCGTTAAAGCGCCCGTGCCACCTACCGACTATCCAAACTGTCAAGACGATACTCTAGCAGGGGACAACAAGTTTGTCATTAGCAACATCAACGGTCGTTGGTGGAAGGTTGCTGGATGGAAGAAAGGCGAACTCGTCGAGTGCCTTCCTTGTCAGACCGTAACGTACTGGGACTACGACTCAACTCATCCGCTGCCGTGGCCTGCACCACTGCCGCCAGTGAATGAGAGCACCAAGGTGATTCAGTCCACTTGGTACGAGTATGACTCCAAGGGCAAATATTAAGCTGCCTGCGGCAAGTTCCGCCACCGTGCCAGCGCAGTACTCTGTGTGGCGAAGCTTCGAGCACCACCCAGAAGGCCGTAACACGTGACACCTCTCGTCGCTATTAGGGCTTTCAGAAGACTTGCAGACATTTACCAAACAGCACTCGACTTTCTGGGAGCTTACTAACAGCACACAACTTACGAAACAGAAAACTGAAAAACAACACCACTTGGCACGGTAGCGGATTGGCCCATGAAGCAGACATCTCTCTGGGGTCCTCGTGCAGATCGCCAGGGCTTCCCTGCGAAGGAATTCTCCACTGGAACGATGTTCGGACTCGGATACAAAGAGCAGTACACGGTTATCCACGACGGATCCGCAGAGGCTGAGCCGTTTCTCTTCTTGTACGCATGCGGGGAAACGAAGCAAGGTACTTACACTTCTGGCCTCGTGCTTGCGAAGGATCCCGCGAACTCGAAGAGCCTTCGTGCAAGGATCGATCAGGTCGCGACGGGTGCCGGTTTCGAGCCTTCGGATTGGTGCGCCGTCGACAACACCTGCAACTTTGGCGACGAGCCCATTTCGGTGTGAGCAGCGCGCGTTGTGGTATGTAGAGCTTGCAGTTGCGAGCGGTACACCAAGACATACATATGTACATGTGTGCCTGTATGTATATCTGCATCTCTCTGTATATGCATCGGGGGTTGGGGGGTCAGATCGCAGTGGAACGGAGACCCCCAACCGGGAAATCGTTTCGTTTCGTTCGTGTGGTGCGTGCGAGCGGAACTCCACCTGATATCTTTTGTGGGCGTTCGGGGTAAGAGCGACGTCTAAACTCGCGCGGGTAGTGAACTCTACCTGGTATCTTCTGTGGGCGTTCGCGGTGAGCGGTGACTGAAGTTGCGCGGATAGTGAATTCCATTTGGTATCTTTCGTGGTCGTTCGGGGTGAGCGGCACGTCGGAATTTGCGCGGATCGTGAGCTCCATTTGGTTCTTTTTGCGGACGTTCGGGGTCAGCGGTACGTCTGAATTTGCGCGGATAGCGAAGTCCACTTGGTATTCTTTGTGGACGTTCGGGACGAGCGCCTACGCGACATGCGAACTTGATGTTGGCGCACGTCCTTGCCAAGCTCTTGGTTTCACGCGCCTCCCGTTCATGTCAATAAAGGTTCCCACAACGAGCGTTTCGCTCGGGACATCCTCGCCAAATCGTGAAGTCGGGGGTCGTATCTTAAGACGTCTTTTGCTAAAACTGGGCGTTCCGCCCGAGACATCCTGCAACAATGGAGATCTTGAAATCGACGTCCTAATTTTCGGATCCTCGAAAAGGGGCGTTTCGCCTGAGACATCCTCGAAAACATAGGATGCGCCAAGAGCTCTTGCAAGGCATCTTTTCGGTGCGATATCGGATGACTTCCAAGATTGCCCAAGAAGCGAAATCATAAACCAGTTGTTTTCTTCACAGCTGGGTTAAACAATGAGCGTTTCGTTCGAGACATCCTCCAAATATTGCCTTCGGACGGTCCATCGAAGGCGAAATTTCTGAAACAATTATTTTCATCAATTTTGTCAAAACACATGGCGTTTCGCTCGAGACATCCTCCAACAATTTTTGAACTCGCGCGGAAAGTGAACTCCACCTGATATCTTTTGTGGGCGTTCGGGGTAAGAGCGACGTCTAAACTCGCGCGGGTAGTGAACTCTACCTGGTATTTTCTGTGGGCGTTCGCGGTGAGCGGTGACTGAAGTTGCGCGGATGGTGAATTCCATTTGGTATCTTTCGTGGGCGTTCGGGGTGAGCGGCACGTCGGAATTTGCGCGGATCGTGAGCTCCATCTGGTTCTTTTTGCGGACGTTCGGAGTCTCCCGAGACATCCTCCAAAAACCGACGGGTTTTCAACAGTTTTGTTAAACACAGAGCGTTTCGCTCGAGGCATCCTCCAAACATTGCCTTCTCCTCCTCCTCCTCCTGTTCTTCCTCCTCCTCGTCCTCTTCCTCCTCCTGCTCCTCCTCCTCCCACGCACGAGGAAGATGACACATTCCGATAAGGAAGGTTGGATTGGACATCTCCTGGTGTTTCTGAGGTTTCCCGGGCTATCCCAAATCCGATAAGGAAGGTTGGATTACGTGCCCCGTGGGCCCCCCTGGGGCCCGATGGCGACCCCATCGTTTTTAAAAGTTAACCATATGATGCTGTTGCTGCTGCTGCTCCTCCTCCTCCTCCGCCTCCTTCTCCTCCCCCTCCTCCCCTGGTAGTCGTCTTCTCCGTCGTCCTCTTCATGCGGAAGAGTGAGGAGGATACTCAAGAATATGCTTGTTAACGTTCGGGGGGGCGCGTGTCCATACGTATCCCTTCTGAGCGTTCGGGGAGCCTGCCTACACTACATTTGATCGCGATGATGCTGCAAGTTCTTGCGCAACTCTTCCCTTTCACGCGCTTCCCGTTCATGTCAAGAATTGTTCCCAAACATAGCGGTTTCGCCTGAGACATTCTCGCAACATCGTGAAGTGAAGGGTCGTATCTTAAGACGTCTTTTGATAAAAATGGGCGTTTCGCCAGAGACATCCTCCAACAATCGAGATCTTGAAATTGCTCGCCTAATTTTCGAATCCTCGAACATGGGCGTTTCGCCTGACACATCTTCGAAATTATCCTAGCGAAGGACCCAAGCATATGAAGTTGTGGGTACCGCAATTGTGAATATCTTGTTCGGTGAAGCTCCCTATGGGGCCACGAAGCGCTGCGCCGGGCGGGGGGGGGCGCATGCGGGCGGTAGCACTGGGGTCGTCGGTGAAGCTCAATATGAGGCCATGCAACTCTGCACCGGGTGGGTGAACATATCAAATTAGGCGTGTGGGACGCATGCGGGCGGTCACATTGGGGGCTTCGGTGGAGCTCCCCATGGGGCCGCGAAGCGTTGTAAAGGGTGGGTGAACATGCCACGTTGGGTGTGGGGACGCATGCGGGCGGCCCCGCTGGGGGCTTCGGTGGGGCTCCCTATCGGGCCACGAAGCGCTGTACTGGGTCAGTGAAAATGCCAAGTTGGGTGTGGGGGACGCATGCAGGCGGTCCCACTGGAGGCTTCGGTGGAGCTCCCTGTAGGGGACGCATGCGGGCGGCCCCGCTGGGGGCTTCGGTGGGCTCCTATGGGGCCACGAAGCGCTGTACTGGGCGGGTGAAAATGCCAAACTGGGCAAGTGCCGGGGGCGCATGCGAACTGTGCCACTGGGACCTTCGGCGGAGCCCCTATGGGGCCACGAAGCGTGTGAGGGGTGTGCCGAAATGAGTGGCGGGGACGCATGCGAACTGTGCCACTGGGACCTTCGGCGGGGCTCCTATGGGGCCACGAAACGTGTGAGGGGTGCCGAAATGAGTGGCGGGGGCGCATGCGAACTGTGCCACTGGGACCTTCGGCGGAGCTCCTATAGGGCCACGAAGCGTGTGAGGGGTGTGCCGAAATGAGTGGCGGGGGCGCATGCGAACTGTGCCACTGTGACCTTCGGCGGGGCCCCTATGGGGCCACGAAGCGTGTGAGGGGTGTGCCGAAAGGAGTGGCGGGGACGCTTGCTAACTGTGCCATTGGGACCTTCGGCGGAGCTCCTATGGGGCCATGAAACGTGTGAGGGGGTGTGCCGAAATGAGTGGCGGGGACGCATGCGAACTGTGCCACTGGGACCTTCGGCGGGGCTCCTATGGGGCCGCGAAACGTGTGCGGGGTGTGCCGAAATGAGTGGCGGGGACGCATGCGAACTGTGCCACTGGGACCTTCGGCGGGGCTCCCATGGGGCCACGAAACGTGTGAGGGGTGTGCCGAATTGAGTGGCGGGGGCGCATGCGAACTGTGCCACTGGGACCTTCGGCGGAGCTCCTATGCGGCCACGATGCGTGTGAGGGGTGTGCCGAAATGAGTGGCGGGGACGCATGCGAACTGTGCCACTGGGACCTTCGGCGGGGCTCCTATGGGGCCCCGAAGCGTGTGAGGGGTGTACCGAAATGAGTGGCGGGGACGCATGCGAACTGTGCCACTGGGACCTTCGGCGGAGCTCCTATGTGGCCACGAAGCGTGTGAGGGGTGTGTCGAAGTGAGTGGCGGGTGCGCATGCGAACTGTGCCACTGGGACCTTCGGCGGAGCCCCTATGGGGCCACGAAAGGTGTGAGGGGTGTGCCGACATGAGTGGCGGGGACGCATGCGAACTGTGCCACTGGGACCTTCGGCGGAGCTCCTATGGGGCCACGAAACGTGTGAGGGGTGTGCCGAAATGAGTGGCTGGGACGCTTGCGAACTGTGCCACTGGGACCTTCGGCGGAGCTCCTATGGGGCAACGAAACGTGTGATGGTGCTGATGTTGATGATGCGGATGACGACGATGATGATGACGATGATGATGCTGATGATGATGCTGATGATGATGATGATGATGATGATGCTGATGATGATGCTGATGACGATGATGACGATGATGATGATGATGATGATGATGCTGATGATGATGATGATGATGATGATGATGATGATGATGATGATGATGATGATAATGCTGATGATGATGATGCTGATGAGAGGAGGGGGGGAGGGGGGGGGAAGGAGGAGGAGACGCGGGGACCGTCTCTTCCAAACGAGGACCCAACAACACAGGTTGGTTGGGGGAAAAAACGGGGATGTTGCAATCGTTGGTCTACTTCGCGGACCTACAGAAATGGGTGTCTCGCCTGAGACATCCTCGAATACATGGGATGCGCAAGGGGCTCTTGTGAGGCATCTTGTCGGAGCGATCTCGGACGACCTCCAAGATGATCCACGTGTCGAACTTATTGAACAACCATTGGTTTTTAACAGTTCTGTTAAAGTCAAAGCGTTTCGCTCGAGACATCCTCCAACATTTGCATTTGGCCTGGCCGTCACATGCGAAATGATTGAAACATCATGGGCGTTCAACACTTTTGCTGACACCAGAGCGTTTCGCTCGAGACATCCTCCAAACATTGCCTTCTCCTCCTCTTCCTCCTCCTCCTGTTCTTTCTCCTCCTCGTCCTCTTCCTCCTCCTGCTCTTCCTCCTCTTCCTCCTCTCCTCCTCCTCCTCCTCCTCCTCATCCTCCTCCTCGTCCTCTTCCTCCTCCTCCTCGTCCTCTTCCTCCTCCTCCTCGTTCTCTTCCGCCTCAGTAGCCATTATGGCTTAAGCCGTTTTCCTCCCGAGCGTGGCTCAGGGGAGTTCTCGTGCCCGAGAGCCAATGTCCTGGCGAGGCCTCTCCGCGATGGGGCGGCGATGGCGTGCGCCGAGCGCGCGGGCAGTGGTGCCGCTCTGTGGGGCGCAGCCGAGGCAACCCCATGCGGGGGCGCGGCGCGGCGGGCTGCAGGAGCGGAAGCCGGCGGAGTGCGTGCGCGACGACGAGGGGGACATCATCATCGCCACCTTCCTAGCGAGGCCGCGGGCGTCTGGGGCGCCCGCGTTCAGCATGTCCGAGCTGGGCGGCGAAGCTGCGGCCTTTGACTTCGAGGCGCGCTTCGAGGTCGACGGCGTGGGCGGCTCGCGCATGGGCGAGCTGATGGCCGAGATTGGGGGGCTGCCGTCGGCAGTGGCCGAGGAGGAGGCCGAGCTCACAGCGGTGGCCAAGGCCATCGCGCTGGAGGAGCTGTACGTGGCCGCGCCGCCGCGCGAGACCGCGGGGGCCGCGGACGACGCGTGGGGGGCGAAGGCGTTGCCCAACGTCATCAGCTACAGCGCTGGGATCCGCGCGTGGGCAAGGGGCTAGCAGCGGCAGCCAGCGCAGACGCTGCTGAAAGAGTGATGTGCGTGTGCGTGTGTGTGTGTGTGTGTGTGTGTGTGTGTGTGTGTGCGTGGGGGCGATGGTGCTGCCCGACGTCATCAGCTACAGCGCTGGTATCAGCACGTGCGAGAAGGTAGAGCAGTGGCAGAGGGCGCTGGTTCTGCAGAGCGAGATGTGTGAGGCAAAGCTGAGTCACAACGTCACTGGCTGCAGCGCTGGGATCCGCGCGTGAGAAAAGGGCGAGGAGTGGCAGCGGGCCTTGGCGCTGCTGAGCGCAATGCGGGAGGCGAAGCTGGAGCCCGACATCATCAGCTACAGCGTTGGGGTCAGTGCGTGCGAAAAGGGCGAGCAGCGGCAGCAGGCGCTGGCGCTTCTGAGCGAGATGTGCGAGAAGGGCGAGCAGTGGCAGCGGGCTTTGTCGCGGCTGAGCGGAATGAAGGCGAAGCATGAGCCCGACATCATCAGCTACAACGCTGAGGTCAGCGCATGCGATAAGGGCGAGCAGTGGCAGCAGGCGCATGCACTCCTGAGCGAGATGTGGGACGTGTGGGAGGCGAAGGCGTTGCCCAACGCTTGCAGCTACAACGCTGAGATCAGCGCGTGCGATGTGCATTCGTGGCCGAGGAAGGTCCGACGGGATCGCGACGACCAGGTACATCGTGAAGGTCGGGAGGAGCGACGACATCGCTCCGCTCACGGCCGACCGTGACCTATGGCGGCCTGGATGGCAAGCCGACGGTGAGGAGCTTGCCCCTCCTCTGCCCTCGGCCGCCGAGGTTGCGGAGGGCCGCCAGTGGTTGCGTTCCAGCTTCGGCCCCGACTCCCTGGGCCAGGTGGGCGAGCCGTGAGCGGCGGCGCCAGAGGTTCAAGAGCTGAGTGGGCGGTAGCTATGTATAGTTGCTGGACTCGGCTCGAAGCGCTGGCGTCTTTCTGGGGGCGGCCTAGGGGCTGCTTCGTTCCAGGGCGGCCTGGGGGCTGGTTCGTTTGGGCCGCGAGGTCCTGGGTGCGGCCCTGGGGGCTGCGTTCGGTTGCCCGTGGGTCTCCGTCCCCGCGGGGGTGGTGGGGCCTTGGCCACGGTTCTCCCCTCCTGGGAGGTCCGTCGCTGGGGTGCACCTGTCTGGCGTGCCCCCCGGGCTCTTCGTTGCCCTCCCGCTTGCGAGCGGCAGCGTCGGCAGGTGGACTTTTGTCCGCCCAGCCCCATGCCATACCATGCCGTTCTCTTCCGCCTTCTCCTCCCGTTCCTCATCCTCCTCCTCCGCCTCCTCCTCCTCCTCCTCCTCCCCCTCCTCCTCGTCGTCCTTCTCCTCCCCCTGCTCCCTGCTCCTGTTCCTCGTCCTCCGCCCCCTCCACTGATGCTGCTGCTGGTGCTCCTCCTCCTCCGCTTCCTCATCCTCCTCCTCCTCCCCTGGTAGTCGTCTTCGCCGTCGTCCTCCTCGCGCGGGAGATTGACAAAAGGATACGCAAGAATATGCTTGTGAACGTTCGGGGGGCGCGTGTCCATACGTTTCCCTTGTGAGCGTTCGAAGAGCTCGCCAATATTACATTTGATCGCGATGATGATGCAAGTTCTTGCGCAACTCTTCCCTTTCACGCGCTTCCCTTTTCCGTTCCGATGCAGCTGTTTGGTTCAGGTTCCCAAACATAGCGATTTCGCTCGAGGCATCCTCGCAACATCGTGAAATTGGGAGGTCGTATCTTAAGACGTATTTTGCTAAAGCTGGGCGTTTCGCCAGAGACATCCTCCAAACATGGAGATCTTGAATTCGCTCGCATACTTCCCGGATCCTCGAAAATGTGCGTTTCGCCTGGGACATTTTCGAAAACACGGGATGCCGACAGAGCTCTTGGAAGGCATCTCGTCGGAACGATCTCGGATGACCTCCAAGATGGCCCAAGAAGCGAACGTATAGAAACAACCCACGATTTTTTTAATATATATATATATATATATATATATTATATATATATTAAACAAAACACTTTCGTTAAACAGTCAGCGTGTTGCTCGAGACATCCCCTACAAAATGCCTTCGGATGGGTCCTCGAAGGCGAAATGATGGAAACACGTACAGGTTTTCAACAATTGCGTTAACAACAGAGCAGTTCGCTCGAGACATCCTCCAACAACTTTTTGAACTCGCGCGGAAAGTGAACTCCACCTGATATCTTTTGTGGGCGTTCGGGGTCAGAACGACGTCTAAACTCGCGCGGGTAGTCAACTCTACCTGGTATCTTTTGTGGACGTTCGCGCCGAGCGGTGACTGAAGATGCGCGGATGGTGGATTCCATTTGGAATCCTTTGTGGACGTTCGGGGTGAACGGCACGTCGGAATTTGTGCAGATCGTGAACTCCATCAAACTCTTTTTGCTGGCGTTCGGGGTCAGCGGTGCGTCTGAACTTGCGCGGATAGCGAAGTCCACTTGGTACCCCTTGTGGACGTTCGGGCAGAGCGCCTGCGCGACATGCAAACTTGACGTTGGTGCACGTTATTGCCAAGCTCTTTGATTTCACGCGCTTCCCGTTCATGTCAAGAAAGGTTCCCCAAAACAGCGATTTCGCTCGAGACATCCTCCGACGATGGAGATATTGGAGGCTATCGTTTAAAACGTTTTCTGTTACAAATGCCGTTTTCGTTTGAGACATCCTCAGAAACTCGGGATGTTGAAACATGTTTAGGGTTTTGTTGTGCATGGCAAGTGAGCGCTTCGCCCGAGACATGCTCGAACAAATGATACGTTTCAAAAGCTGTGTTACTACCTCTCATCTGAAAAACAGCATTTTCGCTAGGGACATCCTCAGAACATCGGGAGGGGTGCGGCAGACCGAAAACAGGAGCACGCCAGAACATTATCATGTCGCTGGGGACATCCTCAAGCAACGAAATGTTCGCAACATCGCAAATGCGACCCCCACAAGGAGCCCAAGATGGCTCCAACAGCGCCCCAGAGACTGCCGAACATGACGATTTCGCTGGGGACAGCCTCAAACAATGAACAAATGCAACGACATCGGTTTGAAGACTTCTGTTCTAACATCGTCTTGGAATCGCCCCTGAAAAGGCTCCCTGATGGTCTAAGCAAGCCTTCTAAAAATAACGATTTCGCTAGGGACATCCTCAAACAATCAATGTGTCTAACATCGCACTGTAATGATTTTGGAGGGTATCAAGACGGCCCCAAAGGGCCCCAAACGAGCCCCAATATGACCCCCAGGATCGCCCTCGAGACGACCCCAAAATGTGATTTCGCCTGTGACATCCTCACACAATTGATGTGTTCTTAACATCGATTTTATCAAACATAAGCGCTTCGCCTGAGACATCCCCCAAACATGGGAAGTCGCGAATTTGACGTATGTTCAAAAACTGGTGTATCGCCTGAGGCATCCTCACACAAGTGATATGTTGGAGAGGCGGTTTTACTACAACTCATGGTAAAAATGGCGCCTTCGCTGCAGGCATCCTCTGAAAATCGGGAGGAGCACGGCAGACTGACAAAAAGAGTACGGCAGAAAAAGAGTTTTTCGCTGGGGACATCCTCAAACAATGATATGTTCTTAACATCTTCTTGACATAGCTCTTGAAGTGTTCCGAAAATGGCGAAATCGCTGCAGACATCCTCCACAAACTTGGATCTTCGCGACATCGTTTTGGAACCGAAAGGCGCACGGCAGAACAAACGAGGAGCACGGCAGAATAGGCCCCAAGAGAGAAGGAGCACGGCAGAAAAAGACCACGAGCACGGCAGAACACGCACCCAAAGCTAAGGAGCACGGCAGAATAGGCCCCAAGAGCGAAGGAACACGGCAGAAAAAGACCAGGAGCACGGCAGAAAAAGACCAGAATAATGGCAGAATGCGCCCGAAGAGCGATGGAGCACGACAGAAAAAAAGACCAGGAGCACGGCAGAATAGATCCCAAGAGCTAAGGAGCACGGCAGAATAGGCCCCAAGAGCGAAGGAGCACGGCAGAAAATGACCAGAGCACGGCAGAATAGACCCCAAGAGCTAAGGAAAACGGCAGAATAAGACTAGGAGCACGGCGAAATAGGCCCGAAGAGCGAAGAAGCACGGCAGAAAACGACCAGGAGCATTGCATAATAGACCCCAAGAGGTAAGGAGCACGGCAGAAAGGCCCCACGAGCGAAGGAACACGACGGAAAAAGACCCAGAGCAGGGCAGAAGAGGCCCCAGGAGCGAAGGAGCCCGGCAGAAGAAGACCAGGAGCATGGCAGCATAGACCCGAAGAGCTCAGGAGCAAAGCAGAAAAAAAACCATGAGCACGGCAGGATAGACCCCAAGAGCGAAGGTGCACGGCAGAAAAAGACCAGGAACACGGCAGAATAGGCCCCAAGAGCGAAGGAGCAGGGCAGAAAAAAGACCAGGAGCACGGCAGAACGGGCCCCAAGAGCGAAGGAGCCCGGCAGAAAAAGACCGGGAGCACGGCAGCATAGGCCCCAAGAGCGAAGGTGCACGGCAGAGAGCACGGCAGGACGAGAGCGCGGCAGAACGCACCCAGGAGCACGGCAGAACACATACCCCGCACGCACACCGACGCGCGCGCCGAGACATACCTGCGCTGCAGACCAGCAACATAGCATACTTCACATGCTTGGTAGACGAAAGCGACGCTTCCCGTTCTTGTCCGGTCAGGTTACCCCAACATTGCCCAGGATGGCCCAAGGCGAGCCGACGAGACGTTCGAAGAGATCCCCGGGGCGGTGTCCATACAGCGCAGGAGGGCGAGAAGGGCTCACCGCTCTCCTTCAGGGGCAGCGACGGGGAGGCTGGCCCAAGGGGGGAAGTGTCGAATCGCCCATCCATCGCCAAGCGAGGCCTGGGCCCCCTTGCCTGCCCAGGAGCGCCAGCGTTCGCTGTCGATGGCCTAACTCGGATCTATCCGCGATGCGTCGCCGATTCCAAGTCAGTGTCCCCCCCCCCGAGCCAGTCCCCGCCGACTGTTTCCTCGGCGAGGAAACAGTGCAACGGGCCCTCGGTGCAACGGAAATCTGGACCAGACATTTCGCGCACCTAGAGCACGTTGACGCGAAAATGTGCGAACCAAAAACCACCGCAACGAGCGACTAAGACGGCCCTGCCGACGCCCCTGCGGGCTCTCCTACAGATCTGACCCCCCAGACATTCCCAATTCCTCGCGCTCCTGTATCTGGCTGGCCCTTTG